CTCTCTCTCTCTCTCTCTCTCTCATGTGTGTGCTCGGCATCTGTGACTTCTCTCCCCAGGTGTCTCCTGCCTCCTCCTCTCCAATGAAAATCCTCTCCTTCCAAGCTCAAGTACAAAGAAGCGTGACGTGGGCCTAGAGATGCCGGCTCAGGGCTTCAGAGAGCTCGCTGCTTTTGCAGGACACCAGAGGTTAGTTCTTACCATGTTGGGTGACTCAAAACTACCTGTAACTCTAGCTCAGGGGATCCATGCCCCACCATGTCACCTTTTCTCATATGTCCACCATCCCACTACACCTGTTTGAGAGAAGGAAGGTGATATATAACATGCATGCGTGAGCTGTTCACGTGGACTGCCATTCCCAAGGACAGGCTTTAGCTGGGGTAAGCCCCCTACATGGCTGATTCACTAACCGTGGACAGATCATTACAGAGAGTCAAACTATCCTGGGCTATTTTTAGGCTCCTAAAGACGTTTTTTGCTCACCTCTTCGTATGACCTAACGTCCAGTGACCTCTAGGAAAACCTTTTTAGAATATGTAAACAGATCTACAGCTTCCACCAAAAGCTAAGAACGTCAGCAGAGAGCTGAGATTTTTTTCCAGTTTGCTGTAACCCTCCAGCATGATATTTGGAAAAAAACTGAATTTCTAACTTTCTTTGTTGTTACTATTAATTTTTTTTCCTGAAGTGATTACCACACTGGAATATGGTGTTTGAAGTAACAAATCTGTGTGTTCTTGCATCATGGTCACTCATATTAGCTCCAAAATAAACTCTCTTGTTCCTTCTAAGGTGAGAACTATTCTTACATCAACACTACTAAGAGCCAACACATACAAAAGATAAAAATACCTACTCGGTACTTCGGGGAGTCCGTATTCATCTACCCAGCAATCATCCCCCTGAAACCAAGCTGCCCCGTGTAAGTAACCAACAGTGATAGTGACACACCAGGCTCTGGACCATCTCACCTCATCCTCACACTGCTCTGGGAGGCAGACAAATCACTCACTAGGGCAGTCAAGTGACATTTGTCGTCATTTAGCTATCTAGAAGGGAAATGAGATTTGGATCAAGTTCCATTGGACTCAGAAGACCAAGTTCTCACAAATCCCGCCAAGCCACCGTCAGTAATATCTAAAGGAACTTTCCACAATGGTGGAAATAGCCCCTTATCTGTTGCTCCTAGGCACACGGGGGTTCTTGGACCCTCAAAATGGTGCAGAAGATGCAGTTGGGGACTAAGCCTTCCTTTGTGTTAACTAATTTAAATTTAAACAACCACATGGGGTTAGTAGCTATTCTGTGACCCAGTGGAGGGTGACATAGTTTTGTATAAAAAACACCCTAAGAGTGGAACTTTAACACCCTCGAAGGAGAAGCCAACCGCACACACAAGAGCTACCAGCACATCAGACCATTTACCGATTGTTTCTTGATCTGTCTCATTTCTCCTGAGGCTAAAGGAACAGAATCAAACAGAACCACCACAGACTTGACAGATAACAATGAGCTTACCAGGGATAACAGCCATCCAGCTTCACCACTTCTACAGATGAGGACAGAGGACAGCAGTGTCGTCTGGTCAGTGTAACTGACACTTGTCACTCAGCCTCTGGTGCCCACTTAATGGGAAATCCGGGGTGTGTGCGTGTGAGATCTCAGAACAAGGGAAAGAGCTCCAATTAAAGGGACAATGGAACACAGCACGCTCTTATCAGGAGACAAGTCCCCTTGTGCATTCTGCTTCATGTTTGCCTTTTAATTGCCTCTAACTCAGAGCCAGAGATGTGGGCAGCAGACCCAGGCCTCACCACAGGCCCAGAAATGACAGAGCAGGGCAGCAATGGACTCCGACAGAACCAGCAAATTCATCGAAGCTAGATGGGGGAGCCACATCAGAGTGCTCTACAAAGCCAGCAGGACGCTGCCAGAGAAGGTAATGAATATGAGAGTGGGAACGATGGCAAGCCTCACCAAAGAGAAGAGAGAGGGATCCCGAAAGGTGGGTATTGGAGCCCACGCTAAATAAACAACATGAGAGATAGAAGAGCGCCAGAGGGAAGAGCGACTAAAACAACTAACGTGTCACAAATGGGCTGGGAGATGGCTCAGTGGTTAGGACACATTCTCCTCTTGCAGAAGACATCAGCAGACCCTGAGAAGACGAAACTGCTCCAAGTCATTACGCTGTGGGTCCAGCTTTCTAATGCCCATATCCACATCAGTCATTCAGTAGGTAGGAGTGAGGCCTGAGACTCTGAATTTCTGACAAGGGAATGTCAGCGGATCACACTGACTGACCAGGCCTTTGCTCTCTCTGCTAGACATAAGCTAGTGCAGTTGGTTGAGGGGCTGAACCAGATGCTTCATATACGTAAGTTTGGCTTCCACGAGTAGAATTTCTCCAAGCAGAACTCACAACCATAGCTGGTGATCTTGGGTCATTGTCACACTCACACACCCACTCATACATTTGAGAACACACACACACACACACACACACACACACTGCTGCAGCTTGAATTCTGATTGCTCCCTTACAGCTCGTGTGCTGAAGACCTAGTTCCCAGCGCAGCACTGTTCCGAGGTGGAGTTTCGGATGGGCCAGATCAGGAGGTCTCTGACTTTACTGGGGAACTGGGCACTGGTAGTCTTATAATTGATGGCATTACAGGAGGGTAGCAGAAATGTCAGCAGGTGGCAATTGTAAGAAATAGGCCACTGGGGACTGGGCTTGGAAGAATATATCTTCCATTCGTCCCCCTTTTTTCTCTCTGTCCCCATCCCTCTCCCCCATCTCTGGCCACCGTGAGTGAGCGGTTTTGCATCACAATGATCCGTCTGCCTCACTGCAGTCCGGAAGCAATAGGACCAAATGTCCATGCACTGATCCCTCTGAGCCAAAACAAACCGTTTCCTCGGGTACTTCGTCACAGCAGTGGAAAACTGACGCAAAACACGTAGACAACGGGAAAGGGGAGATTCCCATGCTCTCCAGCATCTGGCACGGCACACAGGGTAGGGCAGCCCTGAGCCCTGACGCCGTGCTCACCCCACACCTTGAGTCTTAATCACTGCACGTGCATTTGATAATTGCTTTCTCACTGTTTCTGTGTCTCTGCAACCCCTCCCAAGTCACCGTGCTGCTTAGGCTGGCTTCAAACTCACAGTGATCCCCCTGCTTCAGAAGTGCTGGGGTTCCAGGCAGAAGCCAACAGAACAGCTAGAATTGCTTCCAGACAAAGTAAGTCACTCAGAAACAAGATTGCAAACATGTCTCCTCTCTCACGCTGACTGTGTGCCCCAAAGTGGCTGCCCACACGGACTGCATGAGGACTCTGAAACCGAGTTTGGCTCTGAAAGAATGATTATAGTAGATTAATGTCCACAGTGGTGAACAGGTGGAGGAAGTGACATCATGGCCAGCAGGGGGCAGCCTGGGCAAGCAGGAAGGTCTCACAAGCTGGCTTCTGTGGCCTCCGATCCCAGAGCAAGAGGCCAGATAATTCCTAAATACAGTTCAGAGTGCATGCAGCATGAAGTCCTCCACCACACACGCACACGCACGCGCACACGCGCACACACACACACACACACACACACACACACACGCATACCAGAGGAAGCCCTTGGCACTGTTTCATCCTGCCTATAGGCTGTTTCCTGAAGAATCAGGTCCCAGGTCCCCTGCCTCCAGGGCAGTGTCAGAAAGGTACACTAAGTCAAAAGAGAGCACCAACCCCGATGCCCCACAGCAATGAATGAATAAAAACGTGGTATAGGTATACCGTGGAATAGTACATGGCCAGGAAAAAGAATGGAATCATATCATTCGCCATGACATGGATGCAACTGGAGAGCATTATGTTGCGTGAGATGAGGCAAACACAGGAAGTACCACATGCTCTCAAACATGTATAAAAATGAAAAGTAGAGCCTGAGACAAGGAAGGGAGGGGGAACAGAAGGAAATTGAGAGGGACTTGTAGGGACAGGAAGGTAGCTGGGGTAAGTGGAAACAGGAGAGAGGCCGGGTAGGAGGGCAGATGGGCGTGTTCAGAAACACCCGAATGGACCCCACTCATCTGGCAGTTCATGACACACGCACACACAGAGGACCTTGGCTGGACTGAGTGCCGAGCCCCTAGTTTTCAGGGGAAAGTCGCACTAGGAAGGAAAGCATTGAAAGATGTGGGTCGGAGTCACGTCTCCCCGACTTTAGAAAAGACACCACCTCACCGCCTTTCCCTTTAAAAGCGAAGGGATTTGGCCGCTTTTGGTGCTTTCATCCCATGCATCGTAAGAAGATGGCTTCTGTTTCCAGCTGAAGAGAGAGACACGCGGGCGGTCTTTCCCCCGAGGTGAAGAAACGGCCTATGGAAGGACTTGTTACAGCTCGCCGCATTGGAGGTGTCTGTCTGTCCATGACCACTTGCTGCCATCATTGCGGGCCTGTGCTGTGGGGCGGGAAGAAGTGTGGGACGTGACGGAGAACGCCTAGCAGAGATGCTGAGAAGCAGGAAAACCAGAGAAGGCGGCTGAGGACAGGATGGGCTTCTGGACGTCACCCCTCCAGAAACCTGCTTCCTCCCACCTCCTCCAAGCCCTTGCAGCTAGGAAGCCAACAGATGAAGCCATCAGTGACATTAGTGCCCTCCTGACCAGTCGCCTCTAAACAAAGCCTTCAATTCACACACTTGCTTAGGGGACTGTGTTGTTTGCTTTCTGTTGTTGGGTTACAAACACTGACCAACAAGACCATGCTGGGAAAACACACGGAAACAGCTGACCTGAGCAAGGGGGAGCTCACGGACCCCAGTTTGACAGCTGGAGAGCCAACATAGGACCAAACCAGGCCTGAAAGTGGGTGTCAGTTAGGAGGCCTGGGCAGTCTATCGGGCTCTGGCAGTGGAATCAGTATTTATTCCTAGTGCACGAAAGGACTTTGGGAGACCATTCCCGATAGAGGAATACTTTCTCAGTAGATACACAGGGGAGGGGGTAGGCCTTAGCCCAAATGATGTGACAGACTTTGATGATCCCCCATGGAAGGCCTCACCCTCTCTGGGGAGTGGATGGGGGGGTGTGTGATGGGGGGTTGGTGGGGAGCATGGGAGGATGAGAGGGAGAGGGAACTGGGATTAACATGTAAAATAATATTGTTCTAATTTAAATAAAAATCTATATATAAAAAAATACTGACCAAAAGTAACTTGAAAAAGGAAAGTGTTTATTTCAATTTAGGGGGATACAAGGCGGGAAACCAGGAAAGGGGCTCCAAACAGGAAGCATCAGGCAGGCCCCTAAACAGACCATGGATGCTTCGAGCATCCCAGGCTCAAATTCAGCTGGCTTTCTATTACTATCCAGGACCACCCGTCCAGGTACGGGACCACCCACAGTGGGCTGGGTCCTCCCACATCAGTCACGAATCAAGAAAGGACTCCACGAACTTGTCCGTGGGCCAATCTGATGAAGGCAATTCTCAACTGAGGTTCCCTCTTCCCAGGTCTCTAGTTTGTATCAAGTTGACAAAAGTCAACCATCCCAGAGGTATCTCACATCCACACCCTAAGAGCCTGTATTAGCAAACTGCAGGTACAACTGGAAACTATTACAGTATAGATATGTTATCATGAAATGCCTGGAGAAACGACCAACAGCTTCGTGGTACTGATAGTCCATGCATCGCTCCTATTCTTATAGATTAGAATATTAAATGCACAGTGTCATCATTGTAGAAGAGGCTTTATTACTAGATTTACTAGAGTTCCATGATGTAAAGTGTCAGATGTTATTGAGTTAGAGACAGAAGGATGGAGAGAAGGAGAGAAAATGAGGGGGAAGGAGGGAGGAGGAGGAGAAGGAGGGAGGGAGGGAAGAAGACGACGAAGGGAGGGAACATGGAAAGGTACTTCTTAATACCTGACGCAGTTCTGTGTCTTTTTTACCAGCCATGAGCTCCAAGCATCAAGAAACTGAAGCATTTGTGATCACCATCACTGTTGCCCTACTTATTTAGAATACCTTAGCGATGCGTTTCAGCAGGCAATCAGCTGGCCATGACAACGCCTGCCTGTAATCCTAGGGGAAAAGATGGTTGCCAGTTAAGGTTAGCATGTGTTACCGTAGAGTGAAAAATTGCCTAAAAATACATCAACTTTTTTGAGATAGGGTGAAAAGGGTGATCACCCCTCCCCCGGAAACTGGGATGACCTTCTACGTGCTTGACCATAGGCTGCCTACAATGGCATCTTGTTATACCCTGTCAGTGCAGAATCCAGGAAAGCTGTTTCCACTTCTCTTAGAGTAAGCTGACTACACATAAATGAGCCAGGATAGCCCCCTAGAGAGGAGAGGATGTGGGTCACAACTGGCCACAGGTCCCAACGAGGCTCAGTCAAGACCAGAAAAGAGACACAGCCCGAATACCGACCCAGACCACTGCTCACTAAAGAGTTTCCTTTTTAAGCCACCAGCTTTCAGGTATATGTTGTGCAGAAAGAGCTAACACAGGCAGAGGTCATATTTTACTTATCCTTATATCTCAATACTCAGGCAAGGTACATGGTACAGTATGAGACTTGGTAAATAAATATTGAATAAGTAAATCTGAAAATGAGCCCATTCACATAACTGCCCAACGGTTTGCCTTTAAGTTAGTGCCATTCAATGTATGTGGCTGTGGGTTTGAAAGAAGATGGCCCTCAAAGGGAGCAGCACCATTAGGAGGTGTGGCTTTGTTGGAGGAAGTGCGTCACTGTGGGGGCGGACTTTGAGGCCCTACTGCTTTGGATAGGCCAAAAGTTTGCTCCCTGTGAGGGAACACGGTGTTCCATGGATCCTGGAACAACAGAAACAGATATGCAAGAGAAATGGGAAGAAGCCTGCCTGGGCCTGAGCACTTTTCATCAGAGTGAGGCGTGCAGAGCAGACCACTGAGCCACCCTCTCCTGCAGGACGCTGCCTTGAGGAACCATCATTTGCAACCTGCAAGGCACTCAAGGAGTCCTAAGAGCCACTGTGGTTCATGTGTTACAGAGGAACAGGCAACGCCCATCAATGCTGAGCATCCATCTGGTCTTCAAGTCCCGACTCGGGAACTCCATCTTGTGAGGCTTTCCAGATGAGAAGAAATGTGAGAGAGGCTAACAAAGGAGAGCATGCAAGGGCGGGCACAGAGACCAGGGAGGGCTGGGGTGACGCCACGGCGTACCAGGCGCCTGAAGCTTACCGGCAATGGTGCTTGCAAGCGGTTGGCGTGAAGAATGAGAAGGCCAGATTGCCCCCCCACCCACACCTCTGTGTGTGTGTGTGTGTGTGTGTGTGTGTGTGTGTGTGTGTGTGTGTTGTGTACTCACACACGTGCACCTATGTGTGTTTGTGTAGGTACGCATGCACGTGGGCCGAAGGACAACCAGCCTGGGGTGGTGTTCCTCAGAACCCATTCCCACCTTGGGTTTGGGAAGGATTTTTATGATTTTTTTTGAGACAGTGTCTCTCATTGGCCTGGATCTCAGTAAGTGGGCTAGCCTAGCTGGCAGTGAGCCCTCGGGATCTGTCTGTCTCCCCTCTGGGATTAACAAGTTGATGCTACCACACTGGTTTTTCACATGGATTCTGGGCATAAGCTCAGATCCTCGTGTGGCATGGGGTTCTAGTCGCATTTCTATGGCTCTAATGAAACACTCTGACCAAAGCAGTTTAGAGGAAGAAAGGGCTTATTTCATCTAAAGTTTAATCCATCATTGTGGAAAGTCAGGGCAGGGACTCAAAGTAGGAACTTGTAGGCAGATGTGTTGGTATTCCGCACAGCACTATCTGTGACCCAGGGACTCACTCACAGCCAAGGAATAAGAGCAGAAACCGCAGAGTAGTGATGCTTGCTTGTACCAGGCTTTGTCTCTGGGGCCACCAGCCAACTCCCAAATCATGATACACAAACTTATTAGTTTTGGATGCTCTGCCTAGCTTAGGCACATTATTGATAGTCTAGCTCTTTTAACTTAAACTAGCCTGTTTCTCTTCATCTACCTTTTGACTCCGGGCTTTCTACCTTTTCTTACTTTCTTGCTCTCTCTGGCTGGCTGACCGACGGATCCCTGGCTTCTGGCCATGGGTGTCTCCTTCATCCTCTCTTCCTCCTCCTTCTCTCATTCCTTCTCCCCTGACCCCTCGACTAGATTTCTCCTCCTATTTATTCTCTGTCCACCAGCCCTAACTAACCATTCTCTGCCTAGCTATTGGCCATTCCGCTCTATACTAGACCAATCAGGTACCTTAGGCAGGCAAAGTAAAAAAAAAAATGCAATGCATCTTTTCATAATTAAACACACATCCTTACATTGTTAAAACAACTGCAGCATAAACAAAAGTAACACACCTTTACACAATTAAAGCCATATTCTGCAGCATAAACAAATGTAACACATCTTTGCCCTGTTAAAAATCACATTCCACAACACTTGCTGGCTCACTCCAGCTTGTACTCTGCTAGTTTTCTTATATAGCTCTAAACCACTTGCCCAGGGAATGGTGCCACCCACGGTGGACTGAACCTTCCTACATCAACAATCAAGATAGTTCCAATTCCCGTAAGTCAATTTGATCTGGCCAAGCTCTCTATTGAGATTCTCAGGTGACTCTAGGTTGTGTCAAGTTGACAGCTAACGCTAACTGGGACACATGTCAAGTACTTTAATAACTGAGCTGTATCTCTCCGGTCTTCAAATTCCCTCTTGAAAGTAGTAAGAACCTTTTATTCTGAATTGGAAAAGGACACTTTGGCACAGAGCCTGGCACATGGGGAAGGCTCACATACAGTTGGATGAATACATTCAAAAGGAAATAAATTGGGCTCTTTTGTGTTTGTTTGGTTTTTCGAGACAGGGTTTCTCTGTATTGTTTTGGAGCCTGTCCTGGAACTCACTCTGTAGACTAGACTGGCCTTGAACTCACAGAGATCCACCTGCCTCTGCCTCCCAAGTGCTGGGATTGAAGGCGTGCGCCACCAACGCCCGGCCCTAAATTGGGCTCTTAATAGTCTAATAATGGTGGGAGATTCTTGATCAACTTTCAGCTATATTCCTAAAAGCAGCTGTTGCACACTAAATGATTATTAGAAGTACTGTCTCACTGTCTCATATCAGGCTGAATGAACACTGTAAACATAGGAAAATTAAAAATTGAAGGCTGGCTCCCACATCCAGAAATTGTAATTTAGTCTGGGTGCTTCCTGGCACGGCAATTTCTAAAAAGAACTCCTCCAGTCATTTAAATGAACAGACAGTCAAGTTTAAGACCCACTGCTCAAACTGTTTACTCCCAGGGCATCCACATGAGGCTGCACTATAACCCCAGCTGTGCAGAAACAGAGACTCTCCACGGAGAGAATGCCTTGCCCGGAACCACATAGTTTACTAAGCAGCAAATTTAGGACGCAAAGCTGGAGTGGATGCTAGACATACAAGAACGTTTCTGGCAACCCCCTGCCTCTCCTGGCTCCTGTTCTCCAAGATCCTCCAATACTTACAACAAAAATAACTCTTCTAGATTAATTTTGGAACCTGGGGTGACCTGTATCCCTGTGAAAGACAAAGCCTTCGGAATACTTACACATGCAGGGAGAGTGTATGAGTCAAGCTCCCTTGGAGCAGCAGAGTTAGGCGGGTTTAACACACACCGTGTGTGTAGACCCTGACAGCTGAGCTGCTGTGGTCCAGACAAAGGCAGAGATGCCAGGATTCGGCTGAAGAAGGGTAGAAGAGTGGATGCTGAGGAGCCTTTCCCGTCCCGTCAATAC